TGTTTAGTGTTGATATAAAAATAAAGTAAAAAAATAGATAGAACATTTGGGTTTAATATTGAAGGAAAAAAAACATAGGGGTATAATTTGCATTAAATTGAGAATGTTTAGGTTAAAAAAAAAGCGACGACTCGTTTCTTTTTAACCTTTTTTGATTTGTTGTTCTTTTCATTTTCTTTCGTTGCGTGATATCATTGAACGGAGAGAAGGAAGTATATTCGACGGTCAATTGCATAAAGCAGCCACAGCTTTCTCTATCTCCCGTCGAATTTTCACTCTCGTCTCCGGCGAAATATCTGAGATCTCTCTCTACTTTCTTCACCAAAGATGCATTCGAGCCATCTTCTTCTCGAAGAGCCGATCAGGATGGCTTCAATCCTCGAACCATCCAAATCTGTGAGCTCTCTCTCTCTCTCTTTGATGGTTTTAGTTTCCCATTTCTTCATCGATTTTTGATTTCGCATGGATCGACTGGTTCGATTTTAATTCTAGAGGTTTTTCTGATCTTTTTTTTGTTGTTGATGTATTTCTCAGAGTTTCTTCCCGGCATTGACTAAGATCGTCGGGACTCTCGGTCCTAAATCTCGATCCATCGACGCTCTCTCCGGTTGTCTCAAAGCCGGGATGTCTGGTACTAGCGATTTACTTCTCTTTTGTGTGTGTTTTTGTCTCACTGATTCACTGATACTTACTTATTCCTGTTTTTTGTAATTTTCTTCAGTGGCTCGATTTGATTTCTCTTGGGGAGACGCTGATTACCATCAGGAGACACTGGATAATCTGAAAGTTGCTGTGAAGAGCACTAAGAAGCTTTGTGCTGTATGTTCTCTTCTCTTCTTATCTGGTGGATCTTTAGATTTGCTATATGTATCAGAGTTTGAGATGTCTTTTGGGTTTGCTCAGGTTATGCTTGATACTGTGGGACCTGAGCTTCAAGTTATTAACAAGAATGAGAAACCTATTTCTTTGAAAGCTGATGGCCTTGTAACTTTGACACCGAGTCAAGACCGAGAAGCCTCTTCTGAAGTTCTTCCCATTAATTTTAATGGGCTTGCAAAGGTTCTCTAAGACCCTTATAGAATGAGATGAGATGAGATGATCATATATATATGTGATCAGTGCTGTTTACTAACATAGGTGTGTGATGGGTGTTCTTGTTTGATGTTTTCAGGCAGTGAAGAAAGGAGACACTATCTTTGTTGGGCAATACCTATTCACTGGTAGTGAAACAACTTCAGTTTGGCTCGAGGTAAATAATATGAAGCTGACTAATGGTGATTTGGTGGTTTCTTCTATGTTAAAGTTTTAGACATTTAGATTGTAAGACCGACCTCCCAAATGAAACCTGTAGGTTGATGAAGTTAAAGGAGATGATGTCATTTGCCTGTCAAGGAATGCTGCTACATTGGCTGGTGCTCTGTTCACTTTGCATGCTTCTCAAGTTCACATTGATCTGCCAACTCTTACGGAAAAGGATAAGGAGGTCAGAGTTTCTTATAATCTATAAATCTAGTGATTGATTGCTTTGTTCCCTTGATAACACAATCTTAGATTTTTTTTGTTCTGAGTGTTTGACCAAATTGTTTGTATTTGGTTATCATCTAGGTTATAAGCACATGGGGAGTTCAAAACAAAATCGACTTTCTCTCGTTGTCTTATTGTCGACATGCGGAGGATGTTCGCCAGGTCTGTATTTTTATGGTGCCCTTTAGTTGTTGTGTCGTACTTCTTGGTGTATGCACTGATAATTTTGGGCTTATGATAAGCTTGACTGTAACCAATTGTTGTTTCATAACACAGACCCGTGAAATGCTTAAAAAGTTGGGTGACCTCTCTCAAACACAAATACTTGCAAAGATTGAGAATGTAGAGGTAAGTGCAATATATTGATTTCTTCTTTATTTTATGTCTCTGTAACTTTTCTTTCTTTGTTCGCTAAGGAGGAAGCTGCTGCTTTTATATTTAATTTAGGGACTAACTCACTTTGATGAGATTCTGCAAGAAGCTGATGGAATTATTCTTTCTCGTGGGAATTTGGGAATAGATCTACCCCCAGAAAAGGTATGTTGGTTGGTTGGTCATTCAATTTGATTTGTCCAGCACCAAATTTTACACTCTTTTATTAATTACCTTTGTGGGTTCTGGTGCAGGTGTTTTTGTTTCAAAAGGCGGCTCTTTACAAGTGCAACATGGCTGGAAAGCCAGCTGTTCTTACCCGTGTTGTCGACAGTATGACTGACAACTTACGACCAACTCGTGCAGAGGCAACGGATGTTGCTAATGCAGTTTTAGATGGTATGTCTAATCTTGAGTATGTTTCTTTTATGTTGTTTCTAACATTTTATAGCAGAATCCGCTTGGTAAGTGTTATGAAATTGTGGAGGGAAAACCTATTTCTGGATCATAACTTGGGTTTTCTCTTCCATTTTACTTCCTGCAGGAAGTGATGCAATTCTTCTTGGTGCTGAGACCCTTCGCGGATTGTACCCTGTTGAGACAATATCAACTGTTGGTAGGATCTGTGCTGAGGTAGGCTCTATGATATATTTCTTTGGTAAAGCATCTTGCAATTTGCAACTTGGTGACACCAAATTGTTGCTTTTCATCTGATTTGCTCTGACACTGTTTTTTACCTATTCGTAGGCAGAGAAGGTTTTCAATCAAGATTTGTACTTCAAGAAGACTGTCAAGTATGTTGGCGAACCGATGACTCACTTGGAATCCATTGCTTCTTCTGCTGTAAGTCTTTCTGTGTTACAGAGATATAAGACAGCATCTCTGGTTTTAAGACGCAAATTGCCATCACAATTTCTAAACTAGCTTAATTCACGAGTGACCAGGTACGGGCAGCCATCAAGGTTAAGGCATCCGTAATTATATGCTTTACCTCTTCTGGAAGAGCAGCCAGGTTCGTAGCATTCCTTTTGGCTTAAACTGTTTTTCCGTCTGGTCTATCATATTTGTCTAATGAAATGTTACTTGGATCTCTGTGCAGGTTGATTTCCAAATACAGGCCAACAATGCCGGTTATTTCTGTTGTCATTCCCCGAGTTAAGACAAATCAGCTGAAATGGAGCTTTAGTGGAGCTTTTGAGGTATGTTTTCCCCTTGGTCTCCCAAGTTTAGAGAATACATTCATGCCAATCTCGTACAAAAGTACTGCTTTTCAAGAGACATAGTTCATCATCTAGGATTGCTTGCTGAGTTGTTGCCGTACCAATAGTTGGAGATATAAATTAGCTACCATATTTCTTTTGATACACCATAGTCGCATATACGAAGTGCATAAGATATTTTAAGGTTAACCCGTGTGACTCTTATCAGGCGAGGCAATCACTCATTGTCAGAGGCCTCTTCCCAATGCTCGCTGACCCTCGTCACCCTGTAAGTCTTTGTATCTTTTCATCTTATGCATATTATCTCTTCCTCTCTACTGGAGAATCAAACTGTCTCAAATGTGGTAAACTTATAATATCACTCTTTAAGACTTTTGTGCCTTTAGGATCAACAATATTGTTGCCTTAATCTGGGAGTTTCGTGTTCTTGTTGAACCAATAGTTTGTCTCAGTGGCTCATACAAGTCTTCAGTCTTTTAACATATGTAAAACGTTGTTTCAGGCGGAATCAACAAGCGCGACGAACGAGTCAGTCTTGAAGGTTGCTCTAGACCATGGGAAGCAAGCTGGAGTGATCAAGTCTCATGACAGAGTAGTGGTGTGTCAGAAAGTTGGTGATGCATCCGTGGTTAAGATCATCGAGCTCGAGGATTAAATAACATAAAATTGGCTGCATTTTGGTTTGCCTTCAAAACTTAAGAAGAAAAAAAAAATTGAGATTTTTGTTCCAAATCCAATGCCGGAGAGTTATCTCCGGGACTTGTGGTTTTTGTACTTAGGAGATTTGATGTCTCTAATGTTTCCCTTTTTCTTCTCAATATTTGGTTACCTTCAGATTTTAAACATATGATAAAAGTGTACAATGTCGAGCAAATATTCAATAAGCTGAAACATTCTCTATTATGTTTCTGTGAATTTTTTTTTATCCTTTTAACGTTAAAGTGACTAACCCACCCAACAAAAAAGTATGATTTAGCTGAATTTTGTCAAGTTATTTCTTCGCTCAGCCTTTTCTACAAGTGAAGATAAAAAAAAAAAAATCAAAATATCTTGTGTGTCATAGAAAAAAGAGGTGTTTGTCGTAAACTGAGTGAGAACAGCGAGAAGAAGACACTGGAAATTTATAATAGCAAAATAAATTGTGAGAAAAATAAATGGTCGATATTTGATGTCTGTGACATATTTTCATTAAATTAGTTAGTATATAAATAATATTATAGGGAAACAACTATCAAAATTTGAAAATATCTCAGGCAAACATTATCAAACTAATTCATATATGATCATGCCTATACATCTAAAACAGTATCAAAATCTTTAACTCGATTACGCTATAGATTTTCCTCCATCAATTATTACGTAATTTGATTTAAAAAAATTGAAATTATAATACTACCTAAATAGACTTACTGTTTTACATCAATAAATTTTAAGTCACGTTTCATTTAATATGGTAGGTTTTTCAATTAATTCTAATTGGTTTTGCATGCTAAAAGATTGAGGGACCAACATTTCTATGGTAGGTTAGACATTTGAATCGAGATTTTTCCCCTCTATTAGTAAATGTCTTTGTCTGGAAAACGATAGTTATTCACGCTCGATCATGAATTATGAATGATGATCAATAATCATTACGTTTTTTTCTTTGACTTGTCTTCATTTTTTCCCCGTAATCTCCCAACCAAATGATCTCATGTCGGAGTGATAACGATGCTCCCAATTTTTACAACAACTCGTTGTATGTTCTGATAATGAAATCAAACGGTCTCATCAGTACGTGTATACGTTTATATTTATCTCAAATCACAATACTAATCACATGGAATAATTATATGTCACATAACTTAAAAAAGGACCCTACATGAAGATATTAATTGATAATATCTTCAGAAAAGACCCTACATGTGAACAACTAACTAAGAGAACAATTACCACATAAATTCAGACAAAGCTATTTAAGTGCGAACATTAGTTAATTCATTTGTACTGTACTACAATTTAGTTGATTGAAAATTTTAAACGAAATCATCAATAATGTGAAAGATAATGTTATTTTTTTCAATTTAAGAAATATTATTAAGGTTTATTTACAGTCTATTAATTATATAGATTTTTTTTTTTCGTTTATATGATCAAACTGCTTAGATAAAGGACAAATGATTGTTCGACCAAAAAATGATAAATGATTATAGCTAAATAACATCCTGAAACCATATAAAACTTAGACTTCTGCAAATGTTATTTTGACAAAGATGAGTTACTAAAGTTTGTTAAAAGAGGATTATTGAAGATCCTATATATAGACATGGCCACAGAAAAAAAATATAAATTAGTTAACCAAGTAATTTACGTGTTAGTAATTCAGATACAACATTTTTGATGATTATTTATGGTATAGTGAAATACAAATTATCGTACGAAACCCGAAAAAAAATATATGGTAGTTAAAATTTCTTAAATATTGTATATGAATTATAAATTATCAAAAAGTATGCAGTATATTTGATTGTAAAAAACATGTATAGTTTTATTGATAAATTTGAATGGTTGCCGCAAAAGTTATATCGTTTTTATAATTTATAAAAAACATCTTTTATACCATCTTTTATTATTATTTATAGTTTTCAGCTATTTTATGACCGTTTACCATTTTTTTCTAATCGTTAAAACGTTTGTAACGTTTAGATTATCGGTGAAAACGTAAATAGTGTTTGTGGGAAAAAAAACAATTTTTTGTTTCTTTTGATAAAAACACATAACAATAAAAGATACTAATACTATTTTTATTAACATATTTTATACCATTTTTATTATTGTTTATAGTAGTTTTTAGTTCATCGTTTTTTTCTAACCGTTAAAATTTTTATAGTGCTTAGATCACCAGTGGAAACATAGTGTTTGTGAAAACAAAAAGTTTACAACACTTATGAGAATGCGCACGATGAGAATGCGCACGATGAGAATGCGACACATAAACAAAATTTTTATTCATCAGATCGTGACATGTGTCCAATATTAATGAGATATATGTCAAAACTTACAATTAATTAAGACGAAGTATAAAAAATAGAAAACGAACAAAATAATTATCAAGTAAATAACTAAAATAGAAAACGAATAAAATAATTGTCAAATAACTAATCAAATAGTAAAAAGTATTTTTTTTACTAATCTTATATAGATACGATATTTTTTTTTATAATAGTTATGACATATAAATGTCTTGAAAGATTCTTCTTTTGGACTGATACATACATAAAATTACATTTTTGCTTTACACCAAATCAAACGGACATTTCACGAGTATTCGGCGCTGCCACGTGGCAACAGTAACCTTCGTTGATTTTGGCTTTTCCGACGTCACCTTTTTTTTCATTTCTTTCTACAATTTCCCCCAATATATCTTCCTCTTTCCCTCACTTTCTCCGTTTCTCGCCTTTGTCCAAAGATTTTCCCGAGAAAACCACCACTGAAGACAGAAAAGAGAAAACCACCAAATACATATGTAGAAAAAGCTTCAGTTCGAACAATCGATTCTCCATTTCGATTGCGTTTTTTTTTCCGATATTACGCACGAAGCTTTGTTTTGTGCTTTGTGTAGTTTGGGTCAACTATTTGGGAACGAGATAGGTTATGGGTTCGTCCTTGTCGAATCTGAACGACGGGACGAATGGTTTGGCTATGGGACCTGGACTCGGAGATATACCGGAGAGTTGCGTCGCCTGCGTGTTCATGTACCTGACTCCACCGGAGATTTGCAATCTGGCTGGGTTGAATCGTGCATTTCGTGGTGCGGCTTCGTCGGATTCCGTTTGGGAGAAGAAGCTTCCTCCTAATTATCAGGATCTGCTTGATTTGTTGCCGCCGGAGAGGTATCATAGTCTCTCGAAGAAAGATATCTTCGCTGTGCTTTCTCGTCCAATCCCTTTTGACGATGATAATAAGGTAGATTCA